CTATATACCCCAGAGTAGCCCCTTTTCAAAGAAGGGCCCACAATGACACATCATTCTGAAAACATTTAAAAATCATAAAATGATATTCACGTAGAAGCACACCATGTGACTAACATTGACACAGCAAAATCATACTTACTTTTCTAAGAAACAAAGCTCAAACCTAAACTTTCTCAAAAGAGCTCTTTAATATAGAATTGGCCTCAGAGAGTGATTTGCCCAACTACCGCTTTTCCGAGATGTATGGAAGGACACCTGGAAAGAATTTCCTTTTCCAGCTAATTGAGTTGCCCTCAAAACTAAAATCCAGATCTCAAACTTCTGGTGCTTTTTCCCTCCACTATACCATAATGTCACCCTTCTTATCAAAGAATTAATGTAGGGATCTGAAAGGCATCACAATAGCTAAATTTATTGCCCAGTAGAGTGTAGACCAAAAGCTTGTTTATTTAATCAGTACATTTTGATTGAGCTATATGTTTTAAAGGCATCAGAAAATAAGTTAACCATTTAAAAAAAATCAAAACAATTCATCTCATGAGACTATTGCTATTATACCAAACATATCATTGTGGCCAAAATTACAAAAAGTCTGACAAGGTCATAAATGTTGAAGAATGATAACATCAGTCATAGTTGGAACACTATCTGGAAACATGATCATCTAAAGTTTGGGTAATGACAATCAGGAGAGAGAAAAAGAGAATGGTCCATGTTGTCACCAACCCTTTGTTCCTTTCTCAATAAAACTCTGATTAAGAACTAAGATGATTCCTAATATTTTACCCCTGCTAACCCCCAACTCAGTAAGTAATGGCTCTTTGGAGAATGCTACTTGGTTCTGCCTTCTATGCAGACTTTCACGGAGCTTTGTGGAGCAGGAGGCTTTAGAATGTCAATGCTTCCTAGTTATAGAGGTTTTGAGTCTCATGATTATCACGGAGATAAACCTTATTTCCTGCGTCAAAGGAGCAATTGCAGCACATGACAGGTGGCACCTGTGCTGCTCAGGTAGCTGTGAATTTAAGTGCTAGAATACTATTCTATTGAGTGCTCATTTTAAAGAAGAAAGTGCATTTCTGAATCTGGGCAAGAGACCAATTTTCAACAGAAGTTCAATTTCACCCTCATGTAAGTCTTTGACTTAGTATTGTTAGAAGACAGCCCCAAGGTCCTAAATTTGAAGCTTAATATATAGTTTCAAATAGTGACATCATTTTCTAATGCCAGTTTTAAAGGTATATAAATTACATTATTCTCTTTATACAGAAACTAAGATCTATATTGGTTTGTATTATATTTTATTTTTTGCTGCAAAGCAGTATTATATAGGTGAGAATTTTGAGTTTTAGTAGGAAGTAATATTTATAGGTAAACATTAAAAATTTAAAAACACAACTAGTTCATAATAATTATATTGTTGATAGAGCCCATTTGGAGTGCTGCATTATAGCACGTTGTTGCTTGATAAAGCAATGGCTTCAATCAAGTGGTCCAGCCAGCCCCAGAGTGGAGTAGCAGTAACAGAGGGCTTAATGTTTTGGTTTTATACAGTCCTCCGTGGCATTGACCTCAGGATTGTCACTTTGACCTCTCTAATTCTCAGTGTCTGCCTTTGTAAAGTGAAAACATAGGACTGGATTTTTTTTTAACAATTAAAAAAAATACAGTAAAATAAGCATAACAAAAAATCTACTATCTTAACATATTAAAGTTTACAGTTCAAACTACATTGTTGTGCAACCATCACCACCATCCATCCACATAACTCTTCATCTTGCAAAGCTGAAACTTCATACTCATTAACCAATAGCTCCTTATTCCCTCTCCCCTCAGGCCCTGGTAACCATTATTCTACTTTCTGTCTCTATGAATCTGATGATTCTAGGCACCTCTTCTAAGTGGAATCATACAGTATTTTTCCTTTGTGACTAGCTTTTTTTGCTTAGCATAACGTCCTCGAGGTTTATCCATGTTGTAGCCTGTGTCAGAATTTCTTTTTTTCTTTTTTAGGCTGAATAATTTCCATTGAATGTATATATCACGTTTTCTTTATTCATCCATTGATAAGCACTTGGGTTGTTTCCACATTTTGGCTATTGTGAATAATGCTGCTATAGACATGAGCATACAGGTATCTCTTTGAGTCCCTGCTTTCAATTCTTTGAGGTATATACCCAGAAGTAAAATTCCTAGGTCATGTCATAATTCTATTTTTATTTTTAGAGGAATCGTTATGCTGTTTTCCATAGCACCTGAACCATTTTACATTTCTAGGACTGGGTATTTTTAAATGTCCCCTCCATGTCTAGAATTCTAGGACCCAAAGCTTGTTTTTAAATAACCTCTTTAAGCCATTTCCTCTTTACCTGGAAAGCTTGCCTACCATGGAAAAACGCTCAGATGTCTTTCACTCCAGAAAACCTTCATTCAGGTTATGTTCACTGACAGCACCCTTATTTACCAGTGTCAAGCTCTAATCACGTTTTAAATTTATTTCTTATTTTTCTATAGAACACGAGTTCCTGGAAGGCAGAGATTATATATTATTCTTCATTATCTCTTCAGTCCCTGACAAAAAATAATCAAACAGCAAATAAATGTCTGATGACATTATACGGGTTGGAACAAAATAGGGTTAGATATTTCCAAATGATAATTGAAGAAGTGATTAAAAATAGTCAAATTGGAGAAAAGTTTTGCTTCTAATGCAAAATATTTCCTTGGAGAGACTGAGACTTAAATAATGACAATGATAAGCGTAATAATAAAAATGCCTAATGTAGTGTTAGCTCAATCATCAGCTAGGGCAGAATCTTTTCACATGGGCTCTGGGACACCTGGCTTAGCATTCTTGCTCCTGCTGGCTGGCATTCTCAGAGGATGGACTCTACAAGGTTGTTGAATGCCCATAAATTCGGAAGTGCAGAAGGTACATTCAATGTGCGTCCATGGTAGAGTGTAGAAGGGGCATTGTCCAAGCATCCCCCTTCCCTAACACAGAGAATTCCTCTTCGATGGCTGGAAGAGACCTTGGTGTTCAATGGTGCAGCCCCTTGTTATCTTGGACGATGCAGCTGAGTTTCAGAGCAGGGAAGGGGTCGTTCCCAAGTTATGTGGCAAGAGGGCCACATCCTAGATCTGGAGAGCCAGACAGATGCTCTTGGCACACACATAGAAACTATTTTTAAGCCAACTTGCTAAGCACTGGAGGGCAGGACTGTAATTGAATACAGTGAAAAGACAACGCTTCAGTAAGTTGCTTTCATCTCACGCTAAATAAATAAGAGGCACCGAACTGTGGGAAAGCAGGTGATATTTCTGGACTCAGACATCAGGACCATAACTCTCCTGGGGCAAGAACGCTCCTGCCAGGCTGCTTTTGCGCCTTTGCAAACACTTTCTCTGCGTCAGTTTCGCGGGCAACAGAGAATGTGCAGAGATCCCGGGAGTGGAAGCTGCGGTCCCTGTGTCAACTGGAAAGTGAGCGAGGGAGGATGCAGCCCGCCGGTGTGCCCGGGGCGGGGACCTGGGAACACGCACCTGCTCAGAGAGGTGGGAGGGACAGGGGCGGTGCGCGGCCTATGCCCCAGCAGGTCTGCAGTCCTGCCGCAGCCTGGCTGCCACCGCCACGCCAGCGCTGCCAGGTGAGCGTTCGCCACCGGGGAGCAGGGCCCCGTGGGCCGGGGGGAGCTGGGTGCTGAGGACCCTGCGCTGACCCAGGGGCGGGGAGGTGGTGGAGGAGGGCGGAGCAGCGCCCTCTTCCTTTTTCGGAGGTAGCAGGTGCACCCCAGATTCTGGCGGTAAATGGGGGCACATTTTTGGGAACAAAAAGCCTACGGTAGGCAGAGATTTGTCTTAGACAGGCCTGGAGACGTTCTGGACTATTGATCCCATCTCATACTTTTCTTCATGACCAAGCATGGGGTATTTCTGGGGATGGGGGAAGGGAGAGTACTCTGGGACAAGCAGAGAGTTCATCTCTGACCCTGACTGATCACTACCCTGCCGGTTGCGTTCAAAGCTCACACTGTATCCTTCTGGACTTTATGGTGTTAGCAACGTCCAAAGACATTGCCCGCTTCTCCAGGCCCCAACAACCAACCAAACAAAATTTTCCCCCTGATATGTCTTTCTTTTCTGTCTTGTGCCGTTTGTTTCGTTGCTATGGATTTAGTAAACTAACTTAGGATTGTCTCTAAACCTAAAAATTGAATGTAAAATTTTTGTGCGTCCACATATGTATTTTTCTGCGAACTTCCACAGATTTCATTTGACTTTCCCAAAGATCAAAAAGCTAAAATCATAGCTGTGGGCTCCATCAACATGGCAAGCCCCAACAATCTGCAGGGTAATCGAATTGCAGATTCTTATTTGAAAGTGGGGATTGAGGGCAGAGCTGAGGAGGCCCCTAAAAGGGTTTGAGGAAGGGATTCCTTCAGGGTTTGGGGAGACAACACTCATCCAATCACAAATTTGTATGGGTTAAGGATTGGTCTGTTTGCCAATGATATGAAATGAAATTAGTTTTCAAACACGTTGACTAGGAAACCAGGAAGAATTTTGGTAAATGAAAGGTCTATTCAAGTTTCTTTATGCCAACCCAAAGCGACCCCAGCTGAGGAGCTTCCAAGGACTTTTGAGAGAAGGTGAGCGATGGAGTGTTCCAAGCTTATACCTCCCTAAACCCCTGGAGCTTGGGAAAAAGAGGAGAGAATCAACTGTGAACTCAGCATTGGAGCAGCACCAGAAAAGCTCAGGAGATGGGAAGTAGAGAGATGGGGGCTGGGAGAAGTGGGGGGCGTTGCTGGATAAGGAGCTTAACTTATCCAACAAAACTTACCTGCAAAACTAACAGATGCCTTAGAACAATCATATTTCATCATTGATCCAACCTTACTTGTTCACATCAAATGGGTAGGAATACTCTGTGGATATAAAGCAGTATCTGCTGCCACTTAAACAGATATCATTTCTGATTATGCCTTCTTTACCTACAGAATCTTGGAATCTCAATCTGTGATGCTCATAGGTGTGCTGGCATTAGGATAGAGATCTGTCCTCAAACTGTGTTTTCCCAGAAAATGACACCCTGCAGCTAGCCTCAGACAATCACAATCACTTTACAATTTCAGAGAAAAAAAATAGAAGTTGAAATTGTAGTTTTTTCTTCACAAGCTTATCCCCACCTTTGATGCTTGCTTTTGTTCATGTGGCACCTAGTTTTGTTCATGCTTAAATATTTGGTTATGTTGAATCCTGTTACATCATTATTTCCAGCTTATAAAGAGCCCCTTCATTCCTGGTGGTTTGTAACCTCTTCATGTTCGAGAATTAGTGTTGCAGCAAAAGATAGGGAATACACCCTGGGCTGTGCCACGTTATTCTTTCACGTCCTTTGAGTTTAAATGATTTGTGTGTGGACCATCTGGTGTTCTGGGTTGTGGCAGAGAATTACACAGGACTCTGGGGCTAGGGAGGAAAGAAACTGCTTCATCCTACCTTGCTCATAGCCCAGACCGGTTTTTGTGTACTGTTTTTAACATTGAACATGTTTTGTAAACTTAAACCATACTTTTGGTGAGGTTTATGGCAGAGAGCTTACATTTCTTAATCAACCTCTCCTCCCTTACAATTGGTTAGTCAGCCTTCATTAAATCCCAAGTTGAACTGTTGCTTTTCAAAATAATAAAATGATTGTTTCTACCTACAACCTGTCTTTTTGTGAAAAAATTATTATTTAAAACGGCTCCCATAACATGGCCAAGGGTTTATTTGGCAATACAGAAATTGTAATTTTGCTCCTTCTTTTAAAAGTCATCAAAGAACTTAGAGTAGTGCTTTTTACACAGGAGGCATTATTATTTTTATTATTAGCTATTTTTTCTTTCTGGTTTCATCTCCCAATGCCCCCTAAGACAGCAACCATGCTGAGCTACCTAGGACTCCCCTAGACCTCCTGAACTCTGTCATATCTCAGTGACTTTGCACATACTATTCCCTTCGTCTGGAATGCTTTTCCCTCTTCCTTAATTAGGACAATCCCTCATCTTGTTAAGTTGAGCTTAAATGTTTCCTCCTCAGTGACCTGTCTTTAGTGCCCTCTCTTATTCTCCAGGTAGCTATTCCCTCTTTTCTTTGTGATTTCAGTAGCCTCACATCACTCATCTTGCAAACAACTTACTAATTAACAACTATCTAACATTATTGAGCATTTATTATGTACCCAATAGTATGCCAAGTGTTTTTCTTGCTAATTTTTGATACAGTGACAGCTCCATGAGGTAGGGTTAAATTTTGTCAAAATAATTTTTCATGTTCATTTCCCCCAGTAGACTGTGATAGTGGCTTGCACATCTGTGTGTGTTATTCATTTTGTATCCCTAGGACCTGTCGGAGTACCTAATTAATACACAGTGGGCACTCCATAAATGCGTAAGTGGATACATTTTACCAACAGCTATTTATAGCCAAATTATAAGTTAATTATATGTAACTTTTCTTTTAAATAGTCTTTGTGCTTTTCTCACTGCAGAAATTCACTGTCAAAGTTTTTTAAAATACTGATAAGCAAGAAGAAGAAAGTTAAAATCAAACTTCTTCCAGCCCTAGATAGCTTAAGTAATTTATTTAGGGACATGAAAGTACTAAATGGCTAAACTGAGCATCAAGATCCAGCCATCTGGCTTCAGAGCCCAGGCTCTTAACTGCTGTTATACTTGTTGATCCCCCCTACCCACAAACACACACACACACACACCCTGCACAAATTATATTAGCTATGAAAATGAATCGAAAAAGCGGAAATTTAAAATTAAATCTACCGCAAATACAATGTTGTAATGCATGAAATCTACATTTTAAGAATTCACAGTACTTGGTCTTTTCCTGTCTTCACGATTCCTGTTCCCTCAGTTATTTAGGGTAATCTTGATGAAAATCAACAAAATACAGATCGAAAGGGAGCACTGAGAGGTAAAGTAGACAAAGGGTGGCTTTTAGGTCAGACAAACATGAGCTAAGCTACTAGATATGTTACCAGGGACAGGCTGCAAAACATCTCTCAGTCTTAGTTTCTTTTGTAAAACAGAGATGAGAAATACTTTTCAGCATTTCATGAAATTTAGAAGTGACATGATCATGATGTGCACTGAGATTGATTAATGGTAGGTCTCGTTGTTAAGTCTCTAATGGTGACACCTTATGGCTTGCCCAAACAACAACCTTGCTGAATTGTTTTCTACAGCTACACATGGCTTTTTTTTAAACGAATGCTTCATTTTAATGCTCATGGTAATTTAATTTTTCTATTTTTATTAGATGCATTTAGTAACTTGCCCTACAATCATTTTCTTGGAAATTCAATCTCTTCTCCACAGGCTCTCTTTTGAGATTAAAGAGAAAGCAGTGGCCAATTTAATATTTGAGCGATTTTCATTTAAAAGTAGATCATCGTTTTCGTTACCCTATCATTAATGTTTTCTGTTTTCCTTTTTCAGAGAGTTCCTTCTTGTTCGATTCCTGTTGCCAAGCTGAACTCTCTTGCTTTCTTGCAAGATGAAAGGAGTCAACCATGCATGAGTCACCAGACAATGCAGCAAATGCTTCTGATTTCCCGGACTATACAGTTACTTTCGAAAATTGCACTGATGAAAAAATCCCACTCAAGATGCACTACCTCCCTGTTATCTACGGCATCATCTTCCTCGTAGGCTTTCCAGGTAATGCAGTAGCAATTTCCACTTACATTTTCAAAATGCGACCCTGGAAAAGCAGCACCATCATTATGCTGAACCTTGCCTGCACAGATCTGCTGTATCTCACCAGCCTCCCCTTCCTGATTCACTACTACGCCAGCGGCGAAAATTGGATCTTTGGGGATTTCATGTGCAAGTTTATCCGCTTCGGCTTCCATTTCAACTTGTACAGCAGCATCCTCTTCCTTACCTGTTTCAGCATCTTCCGCTACTGTGTGATCATTCACCCGATGAGCTGCTTTTCCATTCACAAAACTCGATGGGCGGTGGTAGCCTGTGCTGTGGTGTGGATCATTTCACTGGTGGCTGTCATCCCCATGACCTTCCTGATCACATCAACCACCAGGACCAATAGATCTGCCTGTCTTGACCTCACCAGTTCGGATGACCTCACTACGATTAAATGGTACAATCTAATTTTGACTGCCACCACTTTCTGCCTCCCCTTGGTGATAGTGACACTTTGCTATACAACGATCATCTACACCCTCACCCAAGGGCCTCAGACTCGCAGCTGCCTTAAGCAGAAAGCTCGAAGGCTAACCATTCTGCTACTCCTAGTATTTTACATTTGCTTTTTACCCTTCCATATCTTGAGGGTCATTCGGATTGAATCTCGCCTGCTTTCAATCAGCTGCTCCATCGAGAATCACATCCATGAAGCTTACATCGTTTCCAGACCATTAGCTGCCCTGAACACCTTTGGTAACCTGCTACTGTATGTGGTGGTCAGCGACAACTTCCAGCAGGCCGTCTGTTCAATAGGGAGATGCAAAGCAACTGGGGACCTCGAGCAAGCAAAAAAAATCAGTTACTCAAACAACCCTTGAGATACTGCATTTACTCGACCAAAAATAAGAGGCTGCTGATACTTTACCTATCACTCCTAAGAAGTCCATAACATCTCCCTCCATGGAACTCCTAGTAAATACTGTGTATTCAGGTAATTATGTGCCAAAACCAGGACAGGGCTATTAGGAGTTCTTTGCAATCCGTTTATTGAGATCCTCCCTTGGGTATAAGGATGGAATGCATGCCTGTCAGTAAAGTATTCATACATAGAATCACAAACTATTGGACCTCAGGGCATCTTAGAGAACACCTATTCCCACTGACTTATTTCATACGCATGGAAACTGAAGTTCATCCACTTGCCCTTGATTTCTCAGTAAATTAGTGGAAAGATAGGGGGAAACCAATCTTTTCACTGTAATTTCATGCTTCTCCATACTCTGGGGCCTATTTGTATGGAACCACTAGACTATTAAAAACATTACTTGTATCTTTCTTAAAATTTATTTTTTACATCTCACACCTTTCCAACTTTTTTCCTTCGAGCTTTGCTTTGAGATTATTAACCTGGGTTTTTCACTAGGCTTTGGTCAATTCTGCAGATTAAAGCAAGCCAGTGAGATACACTTGAAATAATTCAAGGATGTTAATACTTATAGCTGAAATTATTAATAGAACCTGTAAGATATTTGGGGTACTATGTCTTTATTGTTGTAGACCATTTTAAAAGTTGTTATTGCATTTATAAAGATTATCAAATTATATTAGTGATTATCGACATGTCTTGAGGAAAGAGGGGACACTTTGGGGAAGGGAAGTACTTTTAAATATATACATATTGGGTATTAAATCAAATTTTACGTTGTTCTGATTTCTATGGCGAACATTCTAGGAAACACTAATTCTGTTTAGATATCCTGCTCTTTTATGACTAAAATAAACAGACATCTATTTTAACAGCTAAAGCTATTTTTGAACTGTATTTGTACTTAATTACCAGTAAGTGTAAATATTTGAGAAAAT